TGTGTGTGTGTGTGTGTGTGTGTGTGTGTGTGTGTACTGTCTCATTATTTTACTTCTTGCTCTGGTATTCTAACACGCTAACCTCTGGAGACAAGAAGAAGATTGAGAGGGGAGGAGGTAGGTGGTGACAGTACTGAAGTACTTAATGCCTTGCTTATGCTTAGGGAAAAAAAAAATCAAGAAGGAAGAAGAAAATAGGAATAGACCTGTAGAGGTTGGATGAAAAATCCCTATGGTCTCAGGCATTTGAGCACTTGGTCCCCTGGGGCAAAGCTCTTTGAGAAGGCTTGGGTCATATAGACTGGCTAGAGGAAGTAGGTCACTAGGGGCACCATTGAGGGAACAAAAGCTTCACACTATTCCCAATTTGTTTTCTCTACTTCATGCTTGCATTTAAAATGTAAACTCTCCTCTTCCTTCTCAGGCCATCCTATCCACCATCTGATGCCCCTCCCGCCTCCACCATGAAGGATTCTAACTCTCAGGAACCATACAGTCAATAAACTCTCCTGAAAATTGTTTTGGTCATGGTATTTTATCACAGTAACAGAAAAGCAACTAATCCACAAACTTTAAATCATTTAAGTTAAAGAAAGAGTTCCCAGCCAAGAAGAGTCTGAGAAAACATGATGACTGAGTCCAATGTGGGGTCCTGGATCATATCCTAAAACAACCATTAGGGAAAAACTAAAGGGGTCCTTAAACACAAACATCATGTAACATCAATGTGTCAATTGGCGTTCATTAACTGTAACAAATATGCCATACTAACATCAGGCATTACTTACAGATAGAGTTCAGTGAGCACACTATCACATCATGATAGAATTTTTATAAAGCTGATGCTATCTTCTTAAAAAAAAAACCTCAAGATTTTGTTTAAATAATTAATAACTTAATACAGATGTAAATTCGGTTCCCCACGGACAAGAGTTTTTAATTTGAACACATACTGGTGAAGCAGAGCTGCCTGAAAGATATATGATAAGAAAATAAATACATATGGTCTATATATAGCTAATAGCCATAAGATCATATGGGAGAAGACTACTGAAATGCAGTTGTCAAAATAGTAGAAAAATAGCAACCTGTATGTTGTCATTACTGCACCAGATACAAGATTTGCTAGCTAGCCAATTAGCTTCCCTAATTGGGAATCACGGTAAGTTTAAGGGGTGGTTTCAGGTCCCTATACTTCTGAAAGCAGTCAGAAAATATTTTCTATCTCCATGAGTGCAAGCAGACAGTTACCTGTTAGTTTTCTTGTGGTTTGTGTTGCTGCAAGAAAAAGTTAAGGCTCAGATAGAAGTTGTAAAAGCCAAAGTGGTCACTATTCCCTATTTGGGATCACAAATGTCGTGCACACTTGGATCTGCACTATCAGTCTGCCTCTAGTCCTGCAGTTAAGAACCCTGGACTCACGAGGCAGAGGCAGGCAGAATCTCTGTGTTTGAGGCCAACCTGCTCTACAGAGTAGATTTCAGAACAGCCAGAGCTACACAAAGAAACCCTGTCTCAACAAACAAACAAATAAAGAACCCTGAACTGAAGGAAATACTACTTACATGGAGTCTACAAGACTCATGGTCTTTAATTTGAGCCTCTGAGCATGGAGACACTTTTAAACAAACGCTGTATGTCCAAGGACTGCGAGTGAGCAAGTGTCATGTGGTCTGCCTCTCTGAAACTTGCACGGCTTCGTTTTTGCTTGATATCTGTTTCTCCATTGTCTGATGACCTTGACTCCCTGGCTGAGGAACTGGTGATGAATCTATGTCCACTGCTTCATTGTTAGCGGCAACACACATCTCAGCCTCTCTGCAATTCAGTTTATATTTGCCTCCTGGACTGAGTAACAAGTTCAACGTTTATACAGGAACTTTATATTGCAGTGCTTCCTCCCTCCATGACTAATGTCTCTACACACTGGACCCGCAAAATTGAAACTCACCACACAGTCAAAATCATGTTTCTAAAGAATTTACTTGTATAAATACTAATAATCTGTGGTTGGTTTACACCTTATCAATCACGAACACTTCAACATGCCCCTAATGTGGCTTCTAAATTTCTTTCTCCCACTCCCCATATCCACTTACCAAGTACTAATAGAAAAATCTAAGCTATACCATTTTAAAAAATCCATAGTACCATGGCCCTAAAATACTTTCTCACTAGCCATTTGGCAGTGCCAAATAAAATTCTGTAGGTAAACACTCAAGGGTATTCCCATAACAGCTTTGAGTCTTTACACACACTTTCCTGTTGATGGTATCTGTCATTGCCTCCCTCCCAAAAGGGCAGTGCTGGCCTCACAAATCAGATTTCTATTTACTGAGAACTGAGCCTGGCAACCCTTCGACCACAAGTAATCTAAAAACATTTACCTGTCTAAACCGATCTTCCCCTTGACACACCAGCAGGGCGTTGCCAAACGTGAAAACATTTAATCTACAGCAATTAAAGTCTAATGAGATGTCCTCAAGCTATCCCTTTTATTTTATTGTGAGCAACTTTGCATAAGCAATTTAATATCATAAAATCTGAAATAGGCTAAATGAATTCTTGGAAGCTGGTTCACACAAGTCTATTTGATTCTGACCAGATACTCCAGGCTAATTACTAATGCCTGTGAATGCTGCCGTGTTCAAATATGGATATGTGGGTTTATAAAAGGAGAAGTTGCTTGATCTTTTTCTCTCCCTCTAGCAGAAGTATGTCTGGGCTTGCCAAGCATCAACGTATTTAAAACTCACTGGTTTTGCTGCCTTCAACTTGAAATCTGAAAACAGTATTTTTGGGTGGATTTTTTTCTTACTTTTCTGTGATCCAGGCTGGGGACTTGGTAAAAGAACACCACATCAGCAACATTCAGTGCTCATTAGTTCTTCTTGGCAAGCTTTATGCCAGGGCAAGAAACATTCTTCGAATTGCTTACTGTGCCTGCTGTCTCTCTAGAGGTGTCAGAGTTGACAAGCAAGCACGCAAAGTGAAACTATAGACATGAAATCAGTTAGTTTAAGCCCCTACCCTCTCAAAAATCAACTTTTTCTCTTATCCCAAAAGTAATAGAAAAGCACTATAGTTGCCAGTTTTTGTGAGATTAGAGTTATCAATGCTCTGTGAAGTCACCATAAGAGTTTACAAAGAACATAGATCAAAGACAACAAAGATATACAACCAAAGGCTGCAAGAAACAGCCTAAAGGCAGTGCCTTCAAATCCTTCAAGCCTCTGGGAGTTTTGGGAACCTGGTCAATGGCATGTGAGTGCTTACTTCCTCTTCCTTCTAAAAAAAAAAAGAAAGAAAGAAAGAAAATAGGATTGAAATAAGCCTTTATAATGAGCTCTAGTTTATAGTTTGCAATTATCTTAAAGCCATGAGTCCTTAACTCTTTGACCAAAGCAAATTTAATTTGACAACTTCATAGAGATGCCTACTTTGAAATTCTCCAAGTTAAAAACATTTTAAAAATCATTATTCTCTAGCATGACTCTCAGTTGATTGAAAACAAAAGGATATTACAACTCCAAAAGGGGGTAAGCAAGAAGATAATCTAAAAATAAAGGATAGATATTTTAATACGTTTAGTTTGTGTGTGTCCTAGTCAGCTTTAACTGTCCACAAAGCATAGAGTAACCTAAGCAGGAATTCTCAACTGAGGGATTGTCCAAATCAAATTGGCCTGTGGCATGTTTGTAGAGATTGTCTTGATTGTTAATTGATGTGGAAGGACTCAGCCCACTATGGGCAGAACTGTCCCTAGGCAAGTGGTTCTAGGCTATACAAGAAAAAATATCTAAGCATAAGTCTTGAGGCAAGCCAGTAAAGAGTGTCTATACATGGTTTCTTTTTTAAGTTGCTGCTTCAATTCCTGTCCTAGCTCATCTTAATTATGGACCATGGCTTATAAGATGAAATACGCCCTTTCTTCCCATATTTGCTTTTACATGTGGTATTTGTAACAGCAACAGATAGAAAACTAGAACAACCAACCTGATAGTTTTTCTGTCACTGTGCTAAATTCTTGACAAAAACAACTGTAAATGAGGACAGGTTTATTTGATCCCATAATTTCTGAGGTCTTGATCAGTATTCTGCTGGCTTTGTTGTTTGGGGGCGGGGGGACAGTGGTAAGACAGAATATCATGACAGGAAACATGGGGAAGAGCATGGACAGACAGTTCAACATGCAGAAAACAAACAGAAACAGGAAAGGGTGGTTGAGAGCCTAATACTTCTTTTGAAGACCAATCTGAAATGACCTTCAACTAGGCTTCACCTCTTACAGGTCCTGCTACTGCCCAGAGCACCCAGGGCTGATAACCATTCTTTTAACATTCAGAGTTAGTGGAATACCCTACACCTAAGCAGTAAAATTGCACCTCCCCTTCACATCCTATTCAGTTATACTAGACATCTCGCTACCAATTCTGCTGCTAAATATCCCCTCACCTGTTTGACCCTTGACCTGAAGTTATGCCTTGCATCTAATCTCCGTAGAGATTCAGTCTCCTTTCTGAAAAAGAGAATTTGCCACAATTAAGCTGTTTATACTAGTTGCCTAGCTCAGTCCCAGTTTGTGTTTGTTGACTCAATGTGATTAACAGCAGCAGCTACATTTCATGTCTAGGTATCCAATTTGAAAGATAAATTGTATGAAATCTTGCCTAGAAGATCAACAACCAACATGGTGAAGTATGTACAGTTAGCTTTCCTTACCATGTCAGGGCTATGAGTGTATTTTTATTAAAGCTTATTTCTGGCTTATTTATGTATGAAGTTCCTAATTATACTTGAATTAGAAACCTATTCTAAACTGGAGGCCCTGACAACTACACTCTTTCCTCTTGAACACAAATGTATTCGTGGTATCTCTAATAACCAATTCTGCCTCAGGATTTATGATATGTTATCTACAAACTCAGTAAGCAAAAGGCTTCATTCCTCAAGGTATGTAAATAAAATATTTCATTTGATGCTCCCCTCAAGTGTTCCAAAATTAAAATACAAATTCCTGCATTGTGAAGAAGAAGGTAGAAATATCTTTTTTATTCACTACTAAGGAATGTGATGCCAACAGGCAGGGAGGCAGAGGCTAAAATAAAATCTGAACACAGCCTTTGTCTGTCTGTGCATTTCTGTCTCAGAGAAGGAATCATCTGAGTCTGAGTGAGTGTTTTTTAAAACCTGATGATGACTATATACCTTGCACGGGATGGAGACTCACTATTCACCCTAACCCTCCAGTACAGTTTGTCTCATGGAAGTCCAGTCCCATATTTGCCATGTTTATTTTACCCCTTCTAAACAAGGACCCCGGAGGTGCTATTCTAATAAGCATCTTTCCTTTTAGTAAGATGCAACTTTGAGATCCATCAGCCTCTAGTAGACCACTAAGAAAAACAGACACCTGTGTTGGAGTCCAGGAGCAGAATTGAGTGTTATGTTGACCACCAGAGTGCCTTGGTTCAATCCTGTCTCATCAACGTTGAATGAGGTAAATCTGGTGACATTAACC